AGACCACATAGCAGCCACCTGGTGCTTAATGTTTTTCATACTAGTGGTTGACCTTTTTCAGACTCTTCAATTGGATTCCCAGTCCTTGTTGAAGTCTTGGTTTATCTCTACTCTGACTCAAATCCACTGGCCTTGTCCATGGGTCCCATGCCTAATCTCTTCCCATCAGTGACTTAATCTTAACTCTGAGCCCCCAACACGGACATTCCACTGTGATGGTTTCTGGTCTAGATGCAACCTCTGTTTAGGGGCTCTCACCTCTTGGATGTGATATTGTATTTGTTCTGTTGTGAAAGCATGTAAAAAACCCAGTCCTGAAATGAAAATGCAATAAATTGCATTACATGATCGCAGTCACCTCCTGTAGGCTTAGTACCAGTTGAGGAAGGACTAAAGGGGACGTCAGAGCAGTGCCGGGGAGCCAGGAAACCCTCTCCTTACCTCTGAGACAGCAGAAGGCCAGCGGGAGTATCCAGCTGACAGTTGGTATTCTGTCATTCTGGAAGACAAGGAGCCGTGTTAGCTGTGGAAGCCATAGCAGCCACACAGGGACAGGTCTCTCAATCCCCAGACACACCTGGAAACTCCCCTCCCACACTGAAGTTCTGCCCACTTCCCACCGAGCTCCTGCACAGTCCTTGGGAGCTCACCCCCAACCTGATACCGGTGCTCCTCAGCCATTTCATCTTCATGATGATGGGAGAAATACCATTTTGGGTTGCAGCTCAGCTATTGACTCAAGCTTTTGCCCTGGTCAGTGAATGCTTTCCAACACCTCTAGGAATAACGAGTTCCCAGTCTACCTGACCGACAATCAAACTTACTTGCAAGGTTTCCGACATTTGTGGAAACAGCCCAGCACGTCAGCTTTGAATTCAGCCAGCAGTTTGTAATAGCAGTAGCCTGAGCAGCAGAGAAAGTAAATCCGGGTGAGCTCACAGTATCTGTATCCAAAGGGCGATATGTGACAGTGAGGGGAATCCAGAGGTTTCCTTCAGCAAGCTCAGAGGGACTAACCATCCAAGACAAGTGTCTCTTGGATGTCCCACACCAGGAAGCTCACTGAAGACAATGAGGAGATGTACTGGGACACGAGGTGGACCAAACAGGTTCAGGTGGGCACAAGCTTTACTATTCCTCCTGTCCACTTACCCCAGGCTACGTGCTTTGTGTAGTCACAGTACTCTGCTCCCGTGGGTAAGGGATAGAAGTAATACGCGCAGCCACAGCGCTCTACCATGTTGAGCTGAAAGCAGGAGCGAATGCAGACCTGGGAGGCATACGAGGTGGAAAAGGCTGAACGAGGGGACCAAACCCACTGCAGCATCATACTATTAACAGAGCCCAAGGACAAGCAAGGCTGCTAGGGGACTGAAGCATTTCAGGAAAGCAGGGAAACAAGCTGACACAGGACCAGTGATAATGAGTTACCTGTTCAGTGTAGCGGGAGGAGTACAGATTTTGCACTGGCACGTCACTGCCATCCTCTGTGCAATCACTGTAACTGCCCCCTAGACGCACAGTCATCTCCTAGAATATCAAACAGTCATTACACAGAGCCACCAGCGCCTTGCTGTTCTCTTTCTATGCTTCCATGCCACACACTGCTTGTCCATCAGTATCTGCTCTTCATCGGTATCTGCTCTTCATGCTTTCCTTGGGATGCCAGCTCCCTCCACTTTCCTCCATTTCATTATTCACTGATAAATTGCAGCCAAATGCTTCCTGTCTAGTCTGGTAAGCTGCTCTTCTTCCCCTCCCTTCACTCCACGTGATTAATCCCCTCCCTTAAACACACGCTGGGTCCATGACAACCCATCTGTATCTATCCACCAAGTTAAACCTCCCCCATAACCTCACATCCACAGCTCTTACCCCTGCTTCTTCCTCACCTTTCTCATGCTGATGGAGGTCTCGATACCTGGA